GGCCTCCCCTGGGTACCGCGAGGTCTGCAGCTGGCCTGGCTAGGGTGCAATGACTTGCCTGGAAAGGGCTCCACGTGCGCCAGGAAGCCGAGCTTCTGGAGTCCCGGTGATGCGGTAGCTGCAGGAGAGTAGTCCCCCCCCGGACTTGTGGTTCTGGTTTCTGCGGTTTCAGTCACCCGCCGGCGACGGTGGTCTGAAAGCATCATGGGGAATGTTGCAGAGATCATTCTGAAGTTTGGAGTTGTGCACCATTCTAAAGAATCCTTTCTTTTTTTTTTATCGTATTTATTTGTTTATTTTAATTTGACCAGAGAGGGACAGAATGAGAGAGATAGGGAGGGAAAGTGAGAAAGCAAGCTGCCAGGTCTGAGACTCGAACCGTGGTTGGCCATGTGGGAGTCCAGCACCCTCAACCACCACGCCACCCGCTGGTCCCCGGGGCTGTGCACCATTCTGAGGAGCGCGACGAGATCTCGTGCTGTCTCGCTCCATCCCACCTGGGACATGAGTGACACCATTGTCCAGCACGTCTGCCCGCCCCTTAGTTACTGAGTAGCTCTCTCGGCTATCAAATCGAAGAAACGTAGCACATGCAGGGTCCAGGACTGTCTGAGTTTTCACTCATTCATTCTTTCGGTTTTTAAGGTTTTTGCCATAGGGCACGTACTGGCCATAAAGAGGGACAGACTGCGAGGGAGAAAGTGAGAAATCACCCCCCCCCGAGGGGATGGCCACACTGCAGTCCTTTCTCCTCCATCCTCCTCTCAGGATTTTGGGCACACACACACACACCCGACGTGATTTTCAAGTGGATAGATCTGGGACTCGAACCGTAGTCGGCCATGTGGGAGTGTAGCATCTTAACCAGCATGCCACCTGCTGCTTCCCTGGCCAGATGTTAAGCATGCGCCAAGGGCCTTGGGACATGCCCCCGGGGTAAGGAGGGCAGCAGTATTCAGTATTCAGTGCAGGGCACCAAGGGTCTTCCATAGAAAGGCCTTTCCTGACCACCCAGCAAATCAGGAGGTCCCTGCCTGCTGACCTCCATGGCGGGGCAGGGCCTGGCGGGCAGTAGGCGAGTGGCTCTCAGAGCGGAGATCAGGGTCCTCGTGCACCTGGAGGAGGCCCCATGTGACAAGGTCCCCGTCCTTGTCTTCACTGCCACGCTTACCCTCTGCAGAGGTCGGCCTGTAAGAGCCGGTTCTGCCCCTGGGCTGGGGATCACTGAGGGCTTAGTGTGGTCGGGTGCTGGCCAGGAGGATCAGGATGCCACAGACCTGGTCCCTGCCCGCAGCGCCCTCCCTGTGCCCTCCCTGCGCTGACAGACGCTGGCCCAGCTGGTTAGACCTGTTCTCACCCCAGGCTGCCTCTCCATCCTGCCCCCTCTCCCTCTCCGAAAGCTTCCATTCTTGGTCCTCCATTCTTTTACCCTCCTTCCCTTGGGCAGGCCACTTATCTTCAGTAATCAGACCGGACCCTGACTTAGTAGTCAAGCCCCTGACAGGACGGTTCCGTGCACACATTCCGAAGGGTGAGCTCCCGGGAGGCGCCAGCCAAGGTTTCTCAGTTTTCAGCCCTCGTCTCTCCCTCCCCTGCGCACAGGCACCCCTACTGGCCCAGTGCCTTGTCTCCCCCATCTCACCCATCCCTCACTGGAAAGCTGCCACCCCCCCACCTGGTCTTTGGAATTCTCTGTTTTTGTTTTGGCGAGGTTTTTGCTCTAGGGCACGTGCGCTTGCCAGACAGAGAGAGACAGAGAGACAGAAAGCGAGAAATCAACCCCCCCCCCCGGGGGGATGGCCACGCCGCAATCCCTTCTCCTCCATTCTCCTCTCGGGATCTTGGGCACGCACCCAAACGCGGCTGGCGTCAGT